ATTTTACCAAAACTATTGAAGGGAAAATTTGTGTAATTGCGGTAGAATAGAATTATATCCGGGCTGCACATATTATTATGTGTTTTAGACAGCCCTACTTTAACCTATGCATGATACATAGCAAAGACTTTAAAACAGTTTAAATGTCCATTGCTCTTCCCGGTTTGATCTAAACTATATAAGATTTTGAAATTATTAGATATAAAAATAAATATCGATTTCAATTTGAGTCTTTATCCTTTCAAGTTCCCTTTCCTGTAAAAGCACCTATATTATTTCTGCATCAACCATCTAAATATATAATTTTATTCATATTAGTTATTAACTGTAAAATTCAGAAATAATAATACCTAAATGCTATAAACCTTTTTACTTATATAGAGAAATATATGTATATCGGACAGTTAATAAAGCCATTTTAATAAAAATCTGAATATTAAATATCCGCCTTGCCGTTTTTGTTGCTAAACTTAGATTAATCGTTTAAATTATTTAATTTAGTTGTATATATTAGTTTTTGTTGTGTAAAATTTAATTATTTAAATTAATTCAAAATTGGTTAAATAAACGAGATATTTTTGGACAGCTTATCCCATTTTTCAAAAAGGGTTTTTGTTTGTAGTTCTTTTCAAAAAATATATCTAATCTGTAATTCTCAAGGTCCTAATTTTTTTCATACTTTAACATTTTGAGTGAAATGTTAAATATGGAGTTTATCAGTTTGTAGACAATCTTCTCAGAGAAAATCTTGTTGTGACCATTTTTAAATAAACAAAAGCCATTTCTTTTTAGTGGCTAATAGTTAAAGATACATGTAGAAACATGCGCTGCATACACGATGTCGAACAGGTATCAAACTAAGTGAGAATTATATATTCGCGTAAATTTTATATTAAGTAATATAAAAACAGCATCTGTGGTCTTTTGTCACAAGATGAAATTGGTACCAATATATATCACCCACAAGTGTTAAATAAAATGTTTCTCATCCATAGTACTTAAATACTCTTGCATCTTTAAATGTTTTATAATCAATACAAAAAAAAAACTTTCTAATTAATTTAAAAAAAAAAAACTAAAATTTATATATGTAAATTTTAATAATTTTTACATTTTCCAATTGTTTTTACATATCAATTAGTTTGTAGTCGTTTAAGTTTTATTAATGCAAATTGCAGTTGAAATGCTTTCATGTTCATAACTTTTAGAGCAATCAACTCATTTCACGTAATCGTATAGTACCGTGGCTTCATTGGTATATAATTCACCTGTTATTTTTTTTTTTTTGTTTTTCGATGCATTTTCACTTTAAAATGCAACTGAACGAATGCGCATGCGCGGCAAGCAAATGCATCCAAACATGTCGTCTCCACTCAATTGTTTTCTATGTGCAACTGCAAATCATTGGATTGCATTGTTTTTTTTTATAATAATTTTATTATTTATACAATCTTACGAGCATAAATATAAATAATTTGGATATCAATGACATCATAATGAAGTCTTTCTCTTTTTCGTCTATGTTATTGATCCTCATTGCACCTAAATTCACATCAAAGCCGATCGCAGTCAATTTTCAGACCACATCAAATGTGCTGTGCGGCGTTATCGGTTTGTCGAGATCACGTTTAAAATGTCAATAAACCAATTTTATTGGCAACATCAATTTTAATAAAAACAATCGCAACTACTCGTAAACTCCATTATTGGTTACTGGAAAATATTTGTCTGTTTTATGGGCTTTTGCAAAATGTCTGCGAAAAGAAAGTAATTTATTGAAAATTTATCACTGCGAAAATAATTCGGTTTCAATGTGTGAAATGTTTAGATAAAATATTTCAGCTTTAGTATCTTAATCGTCCTTTTAATCTATATTAGTTGTATTAAAATTACAATATGATAAGGCTTTCTTCTATGGTTGGAAAAACGCGAGTTAGTGTCTAAATTACTTTAACATAATAGTGTCTGTCACTACTTGGGTGATCCACTGAAAACAGTGTTAAATTGAAATAAGATAGTAAGTTATTCAGGTGAATTTAGTGAAGTATAGTTTGAAACCCAGCATATCTACCTGATGAAATATATATTGCATTCGATTTAAGAGAATGCAATTCTATTTTTCTTATAAGTGGTAGAAATATATTTTATGTTTTGAAAACGCTGATGTAATTTACTTTAACTTTCTTCACTTTTTAATTATAATTTAATAACTTTTATATGAACGTTTTCTTAAATTAATTGAGAGCATACCAAGAAAGCAAGAAGTTGTGGAGCATCAAAAGAATGTTAGGCTAATCTACAATTTCAAAGCAACTTCCAAAACTTTCTTGCGATAGCTAATTATAGTAATTTTGACACGAAGATCTATAAACATCATGAAATAGTGATCAATAACCATCTTGGTTACCCAAACCATCATAAGTGGTGATTTTTTTATAATTCTTCGTTTGACAAAGTTTTCTTTTGGAAATGAAGAAAACTTTCCCGTAGAAAAATTATTTTCCGTCCCAAAGTTTTTTATTAGGTATATTTTTTTTCGCATGGAAACTTTTGGGTTACTCTATCAAATTCAATTTTTTTTAATTGATAAAATTTTATCCTTTCTGGAACCTTAAAATCTCTTTAATTTAACATTTCTTAAAGTTTGAACTTATTTTTGAATTGTATTTATATTCTAATTGCTGTGTTTTTACCATTATCATAATATTTTACAATACTTTTAGTTGCATTATAGTAAAATAAAGTTCAATATTCGTGCAAGCTGATGAGCCCTTGATATAGTAAAATAGATTAAGTTGGATTGGAGTGGTGAATTTGTGCCCAAAACCCACTCGAACTTATATTTTTGGTCTGTTGTGATACCACCCAACTCTGAATTAAGTGAAAATAAAAAAAGTCACTCAGTTATCGTTAAGAAAATGGGTATTTGAGAGGGAAGTTAAAAACTTGAAACAGTTTTTGGTGTTTAATCAAGTAAATCCTTATGCTGATCATAAGGTCCCTAAAAGTGGATATTTGGCGTTATCCCAAACAGGTATTTAATTAGCTCAGGAATTCATTCGATTAAATATTAAAAAAAAAATTTGTACCTATTTGAAAATTTAATCACTTTTATCTGTTTTTATAGTTGAAATGGATTTCTTCTCATTGGATCTAAAATTAATAATTACTTAGAAAATTTTATTGAGTTCATTTTTTCAAGTTTTAAATAAAAAAAGCAAAAAAGTTGATCATTATAACATACTACTAACGAACATTCCATTAAAAATAGTTTGACAATGTAAATAGAAATACATTTTCCATTGACCCAACAACCGGCATTTCCACAAGAGTGCGCACCACAATATGAGCGGTCAAGCGATTTTCCGTCTTCAATTGGAGATTGCTCAGCAAATCGAAACTACATAGATAACATTCCGTATTTTTCCCAGAAAAATATTTTAACTTTCATTTTTCATTTCATTTCAAAGTGAAGCCTCAATCGAATGCAAAAGTCGATGACTCGACTTGAAATGTCGATGATATAATTTTCTCGGTTGTCATATTTTCCCATACAATTTCATTTGCACAGCTGCAATTAAACAAATTAGTTTAAAAACGTTTAATTAAAATTCTTTTTTTTTTTATGAGCACTTATATTAATTTTTTTTCAGTTTTATTGAACTCTGTGGTACAACACTTTGAACTCTATGAACATAAAAACAATGCCAAATATAATTTTGAATAAAATTACAAGGGCAAAATTATTGCAAAAATACTCTACCCATAGTAATTGCCCATAATGACAGAAAAAAATATTTTTATCTTTTCTACATAAAATTGTTGACTTTACAGGGCTAATAACCTACAGAGAAAGTACCTGTTTTGGAATTCATCGTAGCTAATAGCGATTGAATTTTCTTGTATGAAAATTCACATTTGATTTTCTTATAGCCTTCCCAACACCAGCCAGTCGTATTGCTTGAACCTGAAGCCACCAGCCACCAACACAAGTACTCTCACTCGACTATAGTATCTAATCAACCATCCGCATAATTTCTGATTACTCATACTCATATGTTTTAGTTTATCAATTATTATTTCATTTAGCCCTGAATTCTCACGCATAATGCCCACTGAGTATTAGAAAATACTCACACACACATGGGTAATGTTAAATAAATTCAAGTTAACTCTCAACAGAAATTTGTTTACTCTCCTGTGTGCTGATCACATACAAGAACAAATTTGTTTTCACAAGCAAAAGGAAACCAACAACAGCAACAACAGCAACAACAGCAGCAGCAATAACAACATGCTAAAAATTTTCAAGAGCATATGAGAGTGACTTTACGTCATTATTTTATTTTGTGTTTACTTGGTCTCTCTCTTGATATGCGGCTTTGGAGTTGTTGGTTGGTTGGTTGGCTTACTGTGTGTTGCGTAGCGCGTGTATTTACCAGGGTCGTTTTGTTTGTGTGCGCCCATGCTTATTCAGTTGGTTTCGTATACGCCACAACGAACAAGATCCAACGTAAAGGTTGATTTTCCTTTCATTGACAAAGTGTGCTTCGTGCCGTGCGGATCGTTTTTTGTTTACACGTTCGTACGAAAAAATCTTTTGATTTTAAATGAAATAACATTTTTATATCAAATTCAAAGCATTTGACGGTTTTAAACAAAATATTTTATAAGTGATCGTTTGTTTAATTCGCACTTAAGGATCAGTGTTTGACAGTTTAATTATAAGAGTATGCAAAAGAAAAAATACACTTAAAAAAACCGAAAAGTTTTGCAAATATAAAATCTATTAATAAATAAGATGTGTTAATCTACAAAAAAAAAATATTATTAAAAAGTGCTTACCTTTATTACACAAATTTAACATATCAACTATGTATGAAAAATATATCATATAAATAAAAAAAAAATATAATTATTATTACACATTAATGTTAGAAATCATATTAAATAAAACAGTGTCTTAAGTTGACCGGAACAACTACAGAAATATCATGAAAATGTTAATGTCCGCTGACAGCTCTGACTGTCGTCCAAGCAGCAGTGACTGTGAAGGTGCCAGCACTTCACAGCATGCATCTGCAATAAATGCTATAAATCAAGCCAATCATAATCAAAACCAGAACCCTAATCAAATTCCTAATCAAAACCTAATGAAAACTGAAACAAGTGGTAAAACCTCAGTGATTTGCATGTCCTTCGGGTCCGCAAATGAACAAATGCACAAAGAACAAAATCAACTCAATGGCAATAGCATAGTGCAAGCCTTACCGACCCCCTCGAGCACTACGCAAACAACACAAGTTGTTGTTGGACGTTCACATTTAGAAAATGCACTCAAATTGCCACCACACACAAGTGTTTCTGCATATTATCAAAACACAAAGTTAATGCCAAGTTCACAGAACAATTTAATGTCCAACGATCATGAGTCGTCGTCACATCGTCAACAACAGATCGTGGAACAGCAATCGCATGCAAATTCACAAGATTGCGTTATCTTTCAAGCTCCTCAAGACTATCGTACTATAGCACAACATAATAACAATAATAATCGCGTTATCGGTAGTGTTAGTTATGCACACGCGTGTACATCAGCTGCGGCGGCTATGTCGGTACCTGTCACAGAAATGGATACTGTGCCAACAGGTGCATCTTCGTCCACAGCCACGTCGTCGGTTATGCCAATGTGCGCGCGTAAAATGCCACATAGCAACGTTATCTATGCTAATAATAATGAGAATATGAATTCAAATCCAATGCAACATCTACCACAACCACAACAACAGCAATCCAGTGTACACCATTCAAAAATTCTGCAGAATGCAAATAGTATTAATGCACCCACAAGCACTTATGTGGGTAGCAGTATTGCCTCGCATCATCATAATCACAGTGTCGTTAGTACCAGTGACATTCCCTCAAACGCTGTAAATACCATGTATGACAATTATGCTCACAACTCCAGTGCTTATCACCCACACGCCAATATGGGCAATGGTACTAACAGTATTTATCACCCACAACAGCAACATGTTGCAACTGTTGCTAGTGGCAATCACTTGAATGGTAGTGGCACGGTTGTTGTTGTTGCTGCCGATTCGCGTCCACAAACACCGGACTACATCAAATCTTACCCAGTTATGGATACAACTGTGGCTAGTTCGGTAAAAGGTGAACCGGAACTTAATATTGGTAAATATCCAAATTTTTATATTTTTTGTTTTAACTTAAATCAAATTTTGTTAAGAATATTGGCTTTTAAATAATTTTCTTAAAATATCCTTAAAATAATATTTTATAAAAAAATAAAATATTTTTATATTTATTTATTTTATATAAATAAAAATAATTATATTTTTATATTTATTCTATTGTATATATATTTCTAATTTTATTTATTTTATTCTTGTTTTATAAAATTGGTCTTTAAATAATTTTTATGAAATATTTTAAAACGTTTAAGTATTTTTAAATAAATAAAAATAATTATATATATATATATTTATAGTATATATATATCTAATTCATTTTATTTTATTTTTGTGTTATTTTTTTTTTAATTCATAAAAAATATATTTAAATACAAGACAAAACAAATTATAGAGTTATATATTGCCAAATAATATTTTTAGTTTATCTTCAATTAATTTATTAAAAAATTTAATATATATATTATATATTCAAAATAAATTTTATTTTATAAATAAATATAAATTTAACATAAAATGAATTATATATATTAAGATAGTTATAAATAATATTTCTAGTATTTGATTTTTTATTTGATTTTTTAAGAGCTTATTGATTAATGTTAAATAAAACACAAAATTTTACTATTGTTTAAAAGAAATATATATATATATATATTATTTTGCTACCGAAATTTGAACTATAGTCTATAGTCATTTTTATGTTACTGCAAATAGGCCTCAAGACTATAGTGCCCTAAAGATAACTATAGACTAGACGTAAATCATAGATAGCAATAGTTAGATAATCTATATATTTTTGAAAACTACTTTAAAAAGTTAGTATTATTTAATATCGGCTCATGACTCTGTATAAAAATATATGAATAAAATTTGGTCAATAAAACATTAAATTTTATTTATTAAAAAGAAATTGAAATATGTATAACAAAATAAATTCTTTTAAAAATTTAGTATTATAACTTTACTAATATTTTTTTGTGTTTTATTTATTAAATAAAATTATAGTAATAATAATATAATTAGAAAAATATTAATAATAATATATATCATTTGATGATATTATACATATTTTTTTTTAATAAATAAAGAAAATAAATTATAGAAATATATAAATTAAAAATGTGTAAAATATATTTAATATATAAATTAAAAATGTATAAAGTATATAAAAAAACGTTAACTGATAAATAAATAATGTTAGGAAGAATATATAAATATATGAGCGTAATTATATTCAACATAATAATAAATTCATAAAAAAACATACATTATTGACATAAACCCAAAAATTAATAAAAAAAATTATTTGATTAATATTAATAGATTAACTAATAGAAATGAATAAGTAATAAAAGCAAATACATTCAGCAGAAGAAAAATAGAAAATATTATTATTTTAGTATATATATAGTATAATATTATGTCATGCCTTTCTTAAAGAAATGGGCTATATATCTACTCTTATTTTTAACTGTATCTTTTATTGATTTATCTAGGTTTATTATGCTTCTATAACATTACGAACTACATTCAGTATATAAAGTATCCGGAATTGTTCATTTGTAGAATGCTCCTCATAAATACTAGTACATTTCTTTTTTTGAATATTGGCAATACTGTACCAATTTATAGAGCGATCTATTGCTCTATCTGCTATTTGGAAACTTACTTTTGAGTCATTTGGTACGAAAAAAACCATCGTTGTGGGTAGCATTGTTTATACGACATGTAATCATCACATTCATTGAATTTTTCTTGCAAAAAATTTTGGTATTATTCCATCGCAAAAAGACTCGCAAAAATATCTGCAGACATAGCTGGTGCAAACACATAAAGTAATCGATCTTACTTGGCGATAAAGCAATAAAGTGTTACCAACATTTACAAAAGAATTTTGATGGTATTTTTTAGAAGAATTATTCAAATTATTAATTGCGGTTACTTTGTACACTAAATGTATTTCTCAATTTTATAGAATCATATTAAGCTAGATTAATATTTAATTGTAAAATTACAGACTGTGTTATTATTATGCTCTTCATTTGTAACTAAATTATATATTCGGGTTTATTATTGTCTATATAAATTAACATTAATATAAAATTTTCAATATAATTTTTAAATACTTCAGTAGCTGTAATTTAACTTATATTGATGTTATTAATTTACTTTTTATATACGTATAACATAATCCTATACACATGTAGCAACATAATCTCAGCATAAAAAATTATTAATTCAATAACAAATCGTTTAAGTTTTATTGACCCTTTGATCTTCGCTTGATCTGTTAGCATTATTAGCAAATCATTAATTTATACATAAATGCAAATTTTTATTAATTTATTTCTCATCATCAAACAGACTTTTTTTTTTATTTGTGATAAATATTTAAAAAAGTTCGAAAATACTTCCGCATAAAATAAAAATATTTTATTTTATCAAAATTTTTCTGCGGCTGTGACATTTGCAAAATGTTTGACTCATGCAGTGTACTTTGAAGTTTTACTCGTATTTTGGTTTTTTTTTTGTTTTTTATTTAATTTTTTTTTTACTGATAATGTCAAACGCAACGTAAAACTGAAATTAAACGTTTCAAATTAACATGAAGTTCACTATCAATCCGTAGCTAATAAAAAGTTCATTAACATAAAGCACGGTCATCATCATGAACATCGGCGTCAGCAATAGCAGCAACAGCAGCAACCAACAACAATCAACAACAGCAATATTGCTTGGTTGAGTGTTGTCAATTAGTAAAACAAACATGCAAGTCAAGAGGCGTGCGCTCAGCCTCAGTTTGAGATACAAGTTTGCAGCTTCCTACACTACAACCGTACAACCGTACAACCATATAACCGAAGAACAGCTGTGCCTGAAAGCAGCTGAACTTAAATTTGAACTCAGAATTGAACTCAACTGAGCTGAGGTGAAATAATGAATTAAATATTGAAAAAATAAAAATATTAAATGATTTGACGGTCATTTCAAACGATTTTGAGGTACATTTCAATGTGCGAATACAGCTTCCGATTTCCGAGCAACAATATTGCGGGTGTCAATGAGCGTTATATGTGTATCTAACTGATTTAACCATAAAACAATCTAACTAACATAAAAATCTATACATATTTATGCATAAATATGCTTTAAGCTGAGCTAAATCTACTGATTAAGCAGGAAATGTTTTGCGTTTTTATTGTTAAACCACAAAAAACATTATTCGGTATTTAATAAATAGGCTTAAACCTTGATAGATAATTAGCATTTTTTTTCTATCTGATTTTAGCGCTTGACTACAGAACTTAATTGGACAAAATTTTGCTCTAAAACAATAGCGAAAAACGGCCTATATTTTTGGTTTTATGTACTACCTTGACTTCTCTTTTCAACTTTTATTCTGTTATATATTTTGCACTCTCCTTTTGTAATTGCAAGGTCTTCAAAAAATAAATAATTGTTTGCTTCAATTATTTTTCATGTAATTAAAAGCTATTAAAATCAAGCTATATGATCTAAAATAAATTCAAAAAAAATATATATAAAAATACTGATTTAACTCTTAACACCTTCAATTTTAATTATTAAAACCATGATTGATTTATCGTTCGATCGTTTGAGTAATCACCAATAACAGCAGCATAAGTGTTCACTAAAGTATTGAAGTAGTTAATTAGTTGCACTTCAACACTTCACTTAAGATTGTGTTCAGATGTTTTTTTTTTATCAATTTATTTAATGCTTAAATAATACAATAAATGTTGGAACGATGTCTTTACTCAACCAACGAGCTGACAAGGTCACTCGTCTCACACTTGAACCTACAAGCATATGGTCTGGCATATCTTCCTTATCTTTAGTATTCACTACGCAGCCCAAGACGTTCTCACAATTTATTAAGTAAATTGTTCCGCATAAATGTACGTACGCTACGCTATGCTTTACTCTGTTCTGTTCTGGGTTCATGTCAGTTCATTTAACTCGAAATAATTTTTATAATAAAAACGTAAAAAAAAAAATTAAATAAAAAAGAAATCACAAAATTAAATTATATATAAAAATGTTATATTAATAAAAATTTAAAATAACTGTACCAATGTCATCGATGTCAAAAACCCCAAAATTTTAAAAAGGGAAGTAAATGCATCTTTTTTCTGATTGTTTTCTCGTCAATGAACCGGTTAAAACTTGTATCTTCTTCTTTGCCATATGAATGTGTAGATATTTCTTGATATTTTTATAAATATTGATGAATCAATTTTAACTGTGATTAAGGCTGTTAAAGCTGAGTCAAGCAATTTATTTTTTTTACACAGTATGCAAAATATAGCGCTTCACAACAAAGACTTTCATATATATCGGAGCAGTTATTTTTAAAAAACTTTACTCATTTAAATACCAGGATATTAACTTGAAATACTACTTTAAAAAAGGAATAAAATTCATAAAACTAATAATGAAATTTAAAAAAATAATAATAAAATAAAAAATAATAATAAGAGAATAAAGAAAATAATTTTGAAAAAAAAAAAAAAACAAAAATAAAAATAAAACAAAAAAAAGAACAAGGATATAAAGAAAATAATTTTAGAACAAAAAAAACTAATATAACCAAAAAAAAATAATAAAAAAAAAATATAAAAAATTAATATAAAAAAAATAATATAAAAAAAAAATAGTATAAAAAAAATAAAAAGAAAAAGTATATAATAATAAAATAAATAACAAAAAATAAAATATATAGCAAATTTAATGATAAGGATATTAGTCTAATGGTAGATTTGTTGACGAGTCATAGATGCTTAGGGAACCATGCTTGAAAATTGGATCTCCAGTTTTATTATTCGAGTTGAACTTGTGGAGAACACTATGAAAATACCTCAGGTCTGCTATATTACTATCCAGCGTGTACACGGCATTGATTGACAATTTGTATATTGTGAATATTTCTCTATGGTGAATATTTGTATATTGCAATGT